TTCAGCGTCTCTCACCCTCTGCTCCTGAGGCTAAAGCTTGGTGGCAACTGTAGCATGATGTAATGTGAGCAAGCGGAACCTGTGAGTGCTCGGAGGAGAGCCAAGCAAACATCCTCCCCCTCGCTGCCCTTGCATGGCCAATTTCAGAAAGGACATTTATTCTCAATTAATTCAACTCAACAGTGGATGAGGAATAGACATAATGGAGAAACATTAAAATATACTGTGTCAGTCTTTATTCTCCTGCAGAGGGTTATATTTTAAGGACCAATCTGTGCAGGTTAAACCAGTCAGAGTGTAGTACAGTATATACTGTATTCCTGCTAAAAGTTTGCAGAGATAAAGTCACACTGGGGTCGAGCAGTGGGTGGTTCAGTCTGCATCAGTGTCACGTTTCACTTGAAAATTATGAAAACTGGCTTGAATTTATACAATGAATTTAAAGAAGTCTTACCAAACACGGTCCGAGCTGGAACTGATTCCTTATTAATCCAGAAAGAGACTTGAGCCAGGATGACAGTCATAATACAGGGAATGTAAGTCTGAATCAGGAAGAAGCCCATTTTCCTTTGGAGGTGGAAGTGGACAGTCATGATTACATATTCACCTGAAAGAGTAAGTGACAAAACATTTGTGTTTCTAATAATGACAAACCAGAAAGTAGTGCCTCATATAACATATTTCCAAAACTGTAGTGACACTGATGACGATTACTGTTTTTGTTAGACTTAAATAATAATAATCTCAGCACATACTGCACGTTGGACTGGATTCAGCGATGTTCTGAGCACATTTGTGAGAGTTGGTGCTCACCTGTATTGGATTGTAGCCTCTCGCTTGACACAGTCTGACCGATGAGGTCGTACTGAAGCAAACTGGATGATTCCTGTGGCACCTCGACAGAAGAAAGAGGACCTTTCTTCCATGTGTACACAATCTCACTCATGGGGTAAGCATCTGCACAGGATAGATGAAGAAACCTGTTAATACGCAGACATCCACCATTTGATAAACATCCATCTATCCATTTTCCAAACCGCTCAGTCCCAGACGGGGTCACGAGGGGCGGGAGCCAATCCCAGCCAGCTGCGGGCGAGACCATTTGATAAACACGTTTTTGTTTTTCTTTCAGTGATTCGGGGCACAAAATGCAAAGAAATTTTGACTGTGAGAAGATAACAAAGGAACAAAGATGTTCCTGCTTCCTGGTTTCTGGCTTTCAAATTTTACTTTAAGGTCTACACTCTCAAAAATAGTAAAGTATCAAATCAGAAGTACGGACCCATTTTTCAACTTGTCCTTATTCTAATTCTTACAATAATAAATCGCTCTAGCGTGGGTGGAACCACCCTCCCCTCTTGTATCCTGCACTTTCTTGCACCTCACCAGTGTCTGTTAATAAGTGAAGCTATGTGTTGTACATTACAGTAATGATGATATATATGGGCTGTAATATTAAGCGTGGCTGTTCTCCCTATGTTTTTCCTTTTTAAATACACAAAGTTATTAACACCTTAGTTCCCAACCTGTAGTTTTGTTCCCCATAGAAACTTCCCTCATTTTCTTTTCCACTAAAATGCCCAGTTGTTACTCCCTTGTTCCTCATGGTCTTCTCCTACTGTGCCTACATTTGAGTATCACCAAGTGTCAATAAATTGTGGGCTGTTATAAGTGTTTCTTTTTTACTGCACCACAGATGTTACTGCATGTGACATTCCAAGCTGAAGTCTTTGAATATGTCCTGTCAGTTATCAGTTACTCAGTGACAGCGATCATCTGAGAGTGACACCAGCTGTCAAACCAGCGAGGCTTCACAAAGAACAAACTCACAACTCCCAAACTTGAGCGGGCAGGCGTGGCCATCCATTGGGAAGTTCATCAGACGCATGGGGCACTCTGCATTTATAGTTAATCTGTCAGAGGGGAGAAGAGTTGAAAGGCATGTTGGATTTATATTTGATATACTGTTACTGGCTAAGAAATGACATCTGTTTCAAGCGGGGTCCAGCCACTGTGGTGCCATGCTGTACAATGGCTGATCTGAGTTACTTCCTCCACCACTGCTTTGTAGAGATTAATGCATAATGCTATTTCTTGATATATTTTTCCATTAGAATGTTTTATGTTGAAAAGAAAAATGTAATCATTGCAAAGGAAACTAAGCATACAAGTTCATTTCCAAAAGTATATACAATATGGATTAAAAAAGCTCCTAAAGTTAATCATGGATATTTTTAACGTACAGCTGATCCACTTATATTCTTTTTAAAAAGAAAATCTGTTTATGCACCATCAGTGACTCTAGGGGCTGTATTTTGTTCTAAGTATCTCCTTTTGGAACAAAACTGGAGTCATATTTGTTTGAATTGCTATCCAGGCTTGTTTTCAGTATCAGATGGCACATATCGTGTTTTTGGAATGACACCACTCATTTCTTTTCATGTGCATATTCTTGGATGCTTGTTTGTTTGATTTGCTTTCCCGGTTTGTGCTCTATTCCGGTCTTGGCTGGGTTTGGCGCTCACTGCCCAGCACTGTTACCTCATGGTGTAGAGGATAGTTCCGTTCTGCATGATGCGAAACAGCTTGTTGGGGGTGGTCATGTTGTGAGAGATCGACCTCTTGCCATTACGGAAAAATGTGTCCGGTGTCCAGATCTTGCTGACCATCAGGTTGTTGAGCCGCAGTATCTCAATGGGTCCCTCAAATTTCAGTCGTTTGTCAATCCATGTCTGACGAAAGAACACGTCCATGGTGTATTCCTGGACAAGGTTTAGAGTTCAAAGATACAGATTTATTTACTACTACTACCACTACCACTCCTACTTGTGGTCCTGCTTCTGCTCCTGCCGTTACTATCTCCACTACCCATAGAGAGAATGGCAGATGGGTTTGTGAGCTATGGTTTCATTGGAACCTGCTGGACAGAGCACTGGCAATGTGTCTGTGTGATTTTTTTTTATTATTTTTTTTTTTCCATTTCTGGACAGTTTCTACTAGTAATAACAATGTGAACTTATTTTATATATTTTGTGATTTCATGAAATTCAATTATTGTTTTTTTTTAAAGGAGTTCATATTTTAGATACTAACAAGTCCACGATAAAATTTAGACAAAACTGTATATTTTTTTCTTCAAAGTTATAAGGTTATATTATTGACTGTATTTATTGATTCTTATTTTTATGAACTACTGCGTCTGGAAATTAAGAAAATTAATTAAGTGATTAATGATTAACTAAATATGACCACCATACATTATAATTTTACAGTCAGTCCAGTCCTGCATGCTCTTTGATCAAATGCATGGCCTTGCAGCACCTGAATAGCCTTTAACATGTCTCTCTATAGAACTACAGCATATCACATGGCAGTTTTAAGTAGGCTTTAGGTGAAACAATATCTAAAGCCTTAACAGTGTAGAGTACAGCAGACATACAGTGTTTAGCCTATCCTATGACAGGAGTAGCCAGCCTATCCCATCCCAACATCAGCCACATCGCTCTGTCCCTCTCTGACAAGGGGATTAATATCCTAAGCTGCACTAATGACATCCTGCCCAAATGCTGGAATAAAGAAGCCTGAGGGAACCATGGCTTGAATTCTCAGAGTCGCAGGGATAACTATAGTGACTGCTGAAATGAAAGTGCTGGAACAAATGTATGTGTATGACAGATAGTTAAGTAGCCTATGTATAACATTCGAGTATTTCAGGAGTCAGTATTGTTTACATACCATCTCAACATCTGAAACGGGTCCAAAGCTGGTGACAAAGATGTCAGTCTTGACCTCTGTAACAGGACCTACAGTACAAGGATAAGGAGTTGCTTTGTACAGCCACAAACACACTTCTGGATCAGAAATGTTTATGGTTTTCAAAATATGAAGCTGCCAAAAGTAAAGTTACATTTAATGCTATATAGACCAGAACTGACATTGATAATCTAATTTGTTTAAAAAAAAAAAATAAACAAACAAAACCACTATGAAATCGACTCTAAGTTGATTCTAAAACTCATTTTCATGTCAGTGGTACTTTTTTCCATTGTTAAAAAAATATAAGAACAATTATATTTAATCATTACAACACAAAAGCTAAATGAAAATAGCTACAACTACTCGAGTAAAACTTTATTTTCTGAGAAAAGGAGCATCGACCCAATAATTTACGAAACAATATCATACAGAACACAATATGACACGGTTTTTAGCATACCTCCAAATCCAGGTCGCAGCCTGTTGTCATAGCCATCCAGTAATCTATCCAATATACGCGTGATGTTATCCAAATAACTCTCACTGTGCTGATTTCCCAAAACACCGCTTGCACTGTAACTAAAACACATATGCACCAATGGAAAAATATTTCGACCGACAATAAAACAGTTGCTAGTAGAGTTTTTCAAATGCGCGTCCATCCACAGTCTCTGGTTACCGTGTGTAAAAGTCTGAGAACATGCAGAGAAAGAGTTGTCATACTCACCAAGAGAGAAATAAACAAGTTAAAACGAAAGCCATGCCTCGCAAACACCGCACAACTAGAACTCCCTGCTCAACTTTTAAAATCAGCATATTTCCTCCTTTAACAGCATGCTTAAACGCGGGTCAGGTCTTCTTTTAGTTGCAAACCGTGCGAGGATGTCGCGCCAGTCCAGCACGACTTGACTTCCACCCTAGTGCGGTTGCGCCCGCCTCAGCGTGAATCGCTCAGCTGGAAAAACCTGAGGAGTTTTAAGAGAGTGAAGATGGTGGAAGAGGGGGACATTACCATTAATCGAACGAGGCATTTTAAAAGCAATGTACTGGTGTCGAGTGCATCTAGGATATGTCTAAGATGCTTCTGTTGGATGCAAATAGTAACGGTTTCTGTGGCTATTTGATTATGGTGAAAACAGCGATGGAGAGAAACGGAGAACGAGGACAGGGAAAAGTAGAGGAAGAAAACTTGCACAAATACACTGCTATCATATCAATGGACAGTATAACCAGTGACCTTTTCAGTACACGTATACACTTTGTGATGTAATTCTGCTATGCCTTCTCTGCCTTTGTGTTCTATGTGTATGTGCGTGTTGTCCACGCAAAGAGAGAAAACTGCGACTAAAGCATAATGATCTGTGATTCACATGGTGGTTGGATGGTTGAGTGGAGTGGGTGGTAGATACATTTAGTGCAAATTCAAACTCGCAATATCCATAGACCAAGAACAAGCTGAAAATACCACAGTCAAAGTCAGTTTACCTTACTGGGCTGACACGAGTTTTTCTCTGTTGCACAAACACAGTTCAAGACAATGCACCATTTTCACTGGTGTTCATTAAAGTTAAGCCTGCAGTAG